GTTACAGTTTAAGTATATGCACACTAGGGACACATACGTTTTTCCTCCTCCTAAACTGGCTGCTGACTATGGAGGGAGTCCAGGCTGCCCTACTATAGCTGAGAGGAAAATAGATGAATTCATAACTTTCTCAAGCCAAAACTGAATAAATGACCTCGACTGGAATTCAAACTTGGCTAGCCTTTAAATAAAATAAATAATAACATATATATAATACATGTATATTGATACATACATATATATATATATATATGTATAATAAATAAAATAAATATCATATATAATATGTATAATAATATATTTAAAATAAATATCATACATAATATATATAATGATATATATATATATATATATAATAAATAAAATAAATAGTATCATAAAATAATATAATATGTATAATGATATCTGCATAATAAATGAAATAGTTTCATAAAATAATATGTATAATGATATATGCATAATAAATAATATCATAAAATAATATAATAAGTATAATAATATCCACATAATAAATAAAATAAATAATATCACAAATGATACATGTATAATGATATATATAATAAATAAACTAAATAATCTCATATATAAAATAATAGATGTACCAGTATGCCTACTCAATGTAGAACAAGAACTTTTTTAACATGGGGTTCCCCTGTACATGTGGGATGAGAGTCCAAAAAAGGTTCAATTTTTATGTGTATTATAGTTATTTTGCATATGTAATAATATCATATAGAAAAGTATAGAAAATAATATGTGAATATAATATACAAAATAATATATATGAGATAATATAAAATATAATTATATATCTTAATGTTTATTCCAACATAATTTCAATAGAAACAAAATAAATAGAATAACACATTTATTTTTTCCTTAATAATTTTAAAATTTTAAACTTAATATAGATTAAATTTACATTTTTGAAATGGGTAGTTTTTAATTTTCATTTCAAATTTTATCGTACAATTTAATTAGAATAAATTCTATTTTAGTATAACCCCAACTTTAAAGCATTTAATAGTTATTATAACCTTACTTTGTTGTCAAGTTTTTTGAATTCTCGTATACTTGTATTTTGATTGGTCATTTCAGCTCATGTAACAGCATTTCCCCTTATGAGGGGTGGTTAATTAATTTGAACCTTCTAAAACCTTTATTCTACAATCTACATTCAACATCACTTGATAAGACACCAGGGGTGTTGAAACAAAATGGCTATTTTAGTAGTGATTTTATAACATATTTATGTTATAATTTTTAAATAAATAATTATATTCACTCTACTCTGTATTGAGCACTTTTTTAAGAATAGTAATTGTTGTTTATTGGAATTTATTTCGTATACACCATATAAGAGATAAGACATTAGTAGTAATGGTGACTTCATATAGCTAATGTCTTACCATTATATGGGAGGTATTTCTGGGGGGGTAATTTTTGTGCACCATGTACATTGATTGAAAATATGTTTATCTTTAAAATCTCATGTATATTCTGATATAAATATTATAAGAATATGTACGTTAAAGTATTTGAATACCACTGAAAAGTCTGTATATGTACTTCTTGTGAATACAAAAGAGTTTTAATTCTTTTCTATTGACAAAAAGTAAATATAAAAGATATGCACATATTACACAAAATTAAAACTGCAGAATTCAAAATATAGTATAATATCACATTGTATTAAACATATATGAATTAATATCTAACTTATTTGTATGTTGAGAATTCAATATATGATATTAAAAATAATTTAAATAGTATATGTATTAAACACTATTATCTAAATTATGTACTCATAGATCAGTGCAGAGTATATCATTTTATATATATATATATGTATATATATATATATATATATATATATATATATATATATATATATATATATATATAGTGTTCATATTTATATATTTATATATATCACATATAGGTATACATAATATATAGATACTTTCTGATCATATGTATATATATATATATATGATATATATATCATGTACATGTATATATAAATCAAGTATTATATGTTTATATATCATGTGTGTATATATATATATATATGTATATATCTTGTATGTAGGTATATTATAAAAGATATATATATATATATAATGTAAGTTTATTAAATATATAGATACACATATATTTTGAACAGTATTTAGAAGAATGTAACAAACTGGAAAAGATTTTGTGACACTTTTCTATGTTATAAATCAGACTGTACATATATATATATATATATATATAAATATATATATATATATATATATATATATATATATATATATATATATATATATCCATATCATATCATGCACATATATATATATATATATATATATATATTGTTCAGAAAATGCAAGTAAGTTTCAGTCAGCATAGTTGCAGTATAAACCACTGGTTGGATGTGTGACTGTTGAACAAACAGAACTGTACCTGAGCAAGTGTCTACAATAGGGATTGTACATATATATATATAAATCAGGTATACATACATATATATATATATATATATATTTTCCCCCTTCATTAGTCATCTTTAATTTACATGTCTATCTTTTATTTCCCAGAATTAAAATTGATAAGCCTGCGACGAAACTGGTTGTTTTTTAGCTCTTAAATTTACACTGATATACCTTTTAAATTACACTTATTCCTTTCTATATATATATATATATATAATGTATAAATGTGTGTTTGTATATATATATTTATATCATGTATAAATGTGTGTTTGTATATATATATATATATATGGTGACATTCTCTTTCATGCTTGAATGCGGTCTTGGACACGCTGAAGATTGTGTTCATGCAGTAAACACATTGTTGCCATTCATTATTTATCTCTATGTCGACACTGAAAATATGACAAAGGGGAAAATTTCTTCAGTGATATGTTTTAAAAATATTTATGTATTGCTTTCCTATATATATATATATATATATATATATATTCATGTGTGTGCGTGTATGTATATAAATACAGTATTTTAGCATTAGATTGTATGTATTTACATATACAAGATTAAATGATTAAATAAATAAAACATCATTATATAAGACATGATTTATAGTTACACTGATTTAATTATAAATTTACATATGCATACACTTCATATATAATATATATATATATATATATATAAGTGTGTGTATATATATATATGTATATATAGATATATGTATATGCATATGTGTATATGTATATATGTATTGTAATTGGTTAAGGCAGTGAAGAACTTGGAGAGGTGAATTAACAGGAGATAACTGGTAACTGACATCCATTAGACATCGCATGTGGAACTAGAACAGTCTACCCCAATGAGTGAAATAAAGGGTTTACTTCGACATTCCAACCTCCTGATGAAGGCTTGAGTGTACAATGGCCAAAACGTTGTGATAAATATGGCAACAAAGATAAGAACACTAGTCCAAATAATGTAAATAGTGTACATAATAGCTCATCTCAGACAGATCCTAATATAGTTTTTTTTTTCTCTAAAAGATTCTCCTTCTTGAAAAGTAATATAATTCCTAACATATTGTTTATTTTATATATGCATATAATTATTGTAATCATTTGGATATAGAATGTTAGGAAGTATAAGACACAGTTAAAAAAGCAAGAGAAATTGCAGGAAAAAAAATATTATTTTCATGTATAAAATGCACCTACGTTTAGAAGAAAATAACAGAAACTTGTGAAAAAGTAAGATAAAAAAACATAGGACATTGTTTAAGCATTACAAAAATTTGATAATGAATCTTGGGGTATAAGACCATTAAATCAGCAATACCTATTGAAAAATAAATGAAAATAAAATTGAATAAATATAAACTTTGTTTTGGTTTTAATTATGATGTAATGACTTTCCTTTGTTACAATATGCCATTATATAGATATTATCTCTCCACTTAACAAATAAATCCAATTTGACCCGATTTTGTCCGTTTTGAGTCCTGAAAAAACAGGATTGGGTTCTAAACTAAAATATAAGATGCAGTAAAGTTTTGGATATGATTTTAGATGAAAATCCAGTGTCTTACAGACAGGATTACAGTACCTATATATATATATATATATATATATATATATATATATATATATATATATATATATATATATATATATATATATATATATATATATTATATATTTGTATATATATATATATATATATATATATTATATATTTGTATATATATTTATATATGTATATATATATATATATATATTTATATATGTATATATATATATTATATATTTGTATATATATTTATATATATTATATATTTGTATATATATTTATATATATATTTATATATATTATATATTTGTATATATATTTATATATATTATATATTTGTATATATATTTATATATTATATATTTGTATATATATTTATATATATATATATATATATATATATATTTGTGTATATATATATATATATATATACACACACACACAAATATATAATTTGTAACACATATTTTGTATTCAATTAAAATTCCTTTTCTGAGGATGCTGGTTCATTACAGAAACATTGCAAATTAAAAATTTTTTAAAATATTTTGCCAATGAATTAGCATCATCAGAAAATAATTTTATTTTATATCCAAATAAAATTCTTTTTCTAATGGCATTTGTTCTTCAGTGAAACAAGTCAAAGTAATTTTTTTTTAAAATTGTCTTATATATTTACCATAATGCCCAGAACATTAGACAAGAAATCTCTGCTAGGCCCATGGGAGAGAAAGTCTGATATCATAGAGGCCTGAAACTATGTTCTCATCATGTTCTCAGAGAAAATAAAACCTCTTATTACAGTTGCATTAAAATAGTTATTAAGAATTTTCTGGAAAATCAAACATGAAAAAAATTTAGAAAATATTTTTTGCAGGGGACATGTTGTATATTTATATGCATAAAAATATGGATTCTGATAATATTCAAAGCAAGAATTCTTTCTTTGAATTTCAGGTTTGCTTTTTGGACTTCCTACTACCAACTAGTGAAAAAACTTGCTGACCATGTTAGTACCAGTGTTTGTATTACTGTCTGTCTCAAAAGATGTTTGGACAATGTTAGAAAAGAAAAAACAACGTACATAAGTGACCTTGCAGCTGATATGCACTTGATGGACAGAGTCCCTCTCAATGCTCGCAGCCAGGTTATGTTTGAACTCGTAGAAACTGGAACAAGTGGAAATTTGCAGTGGTTTCGGGTTGGTAAAAAGACAGGCAAACTTTACACTGCACAAACATTGGATGCTGAGTCTCTTTGTAGACATAATAAAGAATGCTCAAAAATCATAAGAATTGCAGTGCAACAAACCAAAGTTTTCATGAAAATCCTAAAAATCAAGGTAATTCTCCAGGATATCAATGACCACCAGCCAGAATTTCCTGAACAAAGAGTAGAAATACAATTTGAAGAAGATGACAGGAAAGGAGTCAGAAAGTCCATCCCGAATGCCATTGACAGGGATCCATGAGCTGAAAAAACATGGATGATCCGTTTTATCTTTCAAAAATGTAGAAAAATAATTACACTGGAAGATATGTTGGACAGAGAAATTAAAGATTCTTATGTTGTTCAGGTTATTGCTAAAGATGGGGGATCACCACCAAAACAAAGTGTTTTAGATGTCCACATCTCTATCACTGATGTCAATGATAACACTCCCGTTTTCTCTCAGAATGTCTACAATGTATCTATTAAATATGAATATAATGAAGCAATTCCAATAACTGTTCTATCAGCCAGGGATTTGGACTCTGGTAAAAATGGACAAATATTATATCATTTCAGCTCACGGACTTCTGAACTAGCAAAGACACACTTTAAAATAGATGAGGAAACAGGAGGGATTTTTGTTCAAAAGGCATTTACACCAGGACAAAATCAGGCTTTTGAATTGTTTGTGAAAGCCACTGATGGAGGAGACCCACCACTGAGTTCTATTGCCATGATTTTAATAAACATGGTCAGTCAACAAAATCATGATGCTTGAACTTTTTTCAGACAAAATGGAAGATGTTAGTTGTAGCTTTATTGCCTATGTTATAGTTACTGATCCAGATTATTTCAATCATAATAAACAAAAGTCTGGATACAAAGAAATAAAATCAAGTCCAGTGGATTGCATTGAAATAACCATCATCTGTCAAGACAAAGGTTCACCACCTCTTCAGAGTGAGAGAAAGTTCTCTATACAAATACTGGATGTTAATGATGTGAGACCACAGTTTTCTAAAGGGATGTTCAGATTATCAATTAATGAAAATGAAAAAGCAAATTTTCCGGTGGGCACCATTAATGTATCTGATCCAGAAAGCAAATTCACTTATACCCTATTAACCAAAGTAAGCATTTTTTTCAGTCCAAAAGATGATGGATTGTAAATGTCTTTGGAAGAACCACATATGAATTTAAAGTTTTTCTGAAGGAAACAAACTTTTAAATGTTATTTCATTGATGAAAATGATAAAACATCCAAACCCTTTCACATTGACTTTATCTATTATCCACATCAATGCATTACTGTCCCAGACTTGGGACTTGGAGGAAAATGCTTTTCTTAAATTTTCTCTGTTGACCAATCAATAAACAGTTTTTACCGTTTCAAAATCACTGAAAATCTGGAGTTTGATTTCACCGTGTGGTCACCCAACAAGATGCAATTATGTCAGCTAAAGTCGATATGATTTTAAAAGATCAAGACTTCAGAGAGTTTCTGAAAAATGAACTCTTATAAGTTTCTTTTTGATGATTGTTGTCTTGGTGGTGGCTGTCTCGGTTTCAGTGTCAATTACTGCTGGACTTTCAATTTGTATTGTTCCAGGACAGGAGAAAATAATACAGAAATGTAAATTGTTGCAAATGACCAGATGGAAAAAATGATCCAATGCAGTCCATATTTTACCCATTTCCCAGTGGACCAGGAATCAACTAGGACAATGTCCAGGAGATCAGCAAGAGGACCATACCCTACTGAAGAATTGAATAAAGGACTAAAAACTGCAGATGGAGTCTACCAGGTGAGTACAGATATTGTTATGTTTATTATGTTTTTGTCTTTCTTTTGAATTCTCTGCTATGAGAAAAATAAAGAATTTTAAAACTATAGAAATATTGACAAATTGTATATTAATTTTCATGCTAATTGTATAGAAATATATCAGTTCATAGACTATACAAGAGTACATCAATAAATTTTTAGCATAACATATATTCTTTAGTTGAATTTTTATCTGAAATTTTCACTGTATAATATTCAATCAATGTGAATAATATTCACCACTGAATCATGTTTATTATAAAGGAAGGAAATAATGTAAAAACAAATGTTTTACTTTTTTTTAATCATTTCACCCCAAGCAAGACAGTAAAGCCACTAAGATGCAAGGGGTTACTGAGTGTGAATGAATATTAACAAAAAACATTATAAAGGAGAGAGAATAATAAATTGCTTACTTCCCTAATAAATACAATCTTCAAAAATTTAAATGCAGCATAAATCACCATTTTCTGTCTTCTTGAATCCCATTCATCAATCTTCCATATAATCAGTCTTCTCTTTCACTTTCACTCCATGTAACTGCCTGTGTTATAGTGGAATTCCTGCCTTGCTTTGGATGAAATGATTAAAAAAAATATGTGTATTGAATATGCATAACTGTTTACTTGCATAGACTTATGCATTCAAGAAGTTTCTATATGCATATTTATGGAAATATAAGTTATAAATAATGTGTGATATGTTGAAACTGTAGTATATATATATATATATATATAATATATATATATATATATATATATATATATATGGGAGGTGTTTATGGTTGACTCAACGAGAGAAACATGTATATTCTAAAAAGAGAAAAACCTCCTAATGTTTTTTTATTATAATGTGAATTTTTTTTAAAAACTTTGTTTATATATATATATATATATATATATATATATATATATATATATGGAAAAATATTCAAGAAACATGGGAAGCGCTGGGTAACAGATCTACAAACTTACCACTCTGTTCAAATTCCATAAACACTGGAGAACACCTTGCACCTATGTATGTATACACAGATATATTTTACTACTCATGAGTCATCTCAAATACTGTATAGACAACTGGATCATTCATTGTAAATTTAAGATTAAAATTGTAAAGGCCCAAACAGGAAAAAATGAACAAATTCAAAATTTTATCTCATACACTAATCTTATGTCATTTATAGAATTATTTTTAAAAATTTTACATCATTATAAGAATAACATTTTTTTCTAAGAAAGAAAAAAAGGAAACATAATCTGTACATAAATAAACAAATATACCAAAGATTGTACATAAAGATATCAATGGAACTCGAGTTTGGATACATATATAAGTAAATTGTAAATTACTTTATTCTATTAATAATTATATATATTAATAAAAGTTGAGACTGGGGTCAACATTAAGTGGCAACAGTCTGTTTCATGCTTAAATGAAACCTTCAAGCCAACAAATATGAAGCATGAAACAGACTGTCACCACTTGGTGTTGACCTCAGTGTCCACTTTTAAATTTATATATGCTCTATCTTTGATATTCAGCACTTTTACTCATAAATATATCATACCTTAAAACTATATTTTTATTATATATATATATATATATATACATATATATATATACTACTTTAAATGTTATTTTCAGTGGATGCTCATATTTGAGTAGATACCTTGTTTATTTTTTAAACAGTCTACTGGCTTAAACATGTAGGAAATCTTATTAAAGAAAATATGCACTCCAGCTGGATTTGAACTTGTGTTTCTCTTTGCAGGAAAAAATGTTGTTTCATTTAATGTGGATTTGACAAGCTTCATAATCAACCAAAGTTATATATATATACATACAGGCACACACACACAATATATATATATATATATATATATATATATATATATTTAAAGGTAAAATTTTAAGATTTAAATTTTAATTTCGAAACAGTAATTTTTGTGTCACAATGCAATCATTATATAGTCAGCAACTGTTTCTTGTGAAAATAGTCAATTTAAACTGCCTTGTCTAGCAGATGTTACAACAAAGGTAACTGATGTGTATATAATAACTTTGTTGTAATATCTTGGGTCAGTCAAGTTGGCATAAAATTATTTAGATATGATTATAATATGTCTACATTAATGTATGTGTTGAAAATATGGATTAAATTCTACATAATGACTGAATAAAGAACAATTAGTAAAATCCTTTTAAAATTAACATATTTTACACAGTAATTGTTTGGGTGAGCTCTTTGTTATGGTACCTAGACTTCATGAATTTAAGTGTAGTATTAGAATGACAACAAAGTCTCATCAATTTACAGTTGAATTGGCTAGGTGTAACTGTAAGTTTTATGCTAACAGTTTCTTTTCTCACACTTCTCACTTGTGGAACTAACTCACTTTCCAGACAAGTTTGATCTTCAAATATAAAAAGTAATGTCAATCGTTATCTACTGTCTTCCTGATTACTCTTCTATTGTTCTTGCTACTTCAGAATGCTTTCTATTTTCTAATTCTTTCCCACCCAGTTACACCTTGTGCCTTAGTGACTTTACTGCTTGGCTTGGGGTGAATTTGATTTAAGAAAAATAATTTAGCTTCGCTTCCCAACATCTCTGATGAAATATTGTCCATTTTCCTTATTTAATCATGTTAATGCCTATATTTTTGCATATTATATAATTTTTCATTTTTTTTTAAATGATGTTCAATCTCTACAAGGTTCAAGAGCCACCCGAGGTAGAGGAGTAGAAAGTAAGAATCAAGTTTATGGGCAAGATAACAGTTGACTCAAACAGGTTAAGATTGTAGTGACTGAGGAAGCATCCCTGATCACTACAATCTTAACCTATTCAAATCTAGAGTCAACTGACATCTTCCCCACAAACCCTCATAAACTGTGCCTCTTACTTGCTAAATGGGCTCTTGGTGAACATTATTGTAAAAATGGTAATTTTGCTTGTAATATTAGTTGATAATTTTATTTCTGAGTATATAAGTGTGTGGGTATGTGGTCTAAAAATTCAGCTAAAAATAAAATATATCTGTAAAATAAAAATCCTTACATTGAGGACTTAATTCACTGGTAAAGAACAGTTTTCCTTTTGACTTTATTCATATATATATATATATATATATATATATATATATATATATTTTAAAGGCTGGTTAATAAGAAATGCATATGGATCATCTTTCATTTTAATTATCCATATATATATATATATATATATATTCATACAATTATGTTTTGGTGGGCAACTTAAGTTTCGCTAGTTTTCCAGCTCATCAGGCACAAAGTATGTTTTTATAAAAAATACACAGGAATGTTGCTTCATAATCCAAAAATAAAATAGTACAAAATGTGCAGGAAATGAGGTGCAATTAGGGTTCATTTTTTGAAAAAAAGAGAAAAATTAAAAAATAAATAAATAAAAAAAAGGAAAACATAGAAATTTCAAATTATACTGGAGACTCTGCTCTGGGTCTGATATAATAGTGCATGCCAGGTGAAAGGGAGCTAAGCAGGTATGAAACCTAAAGCTTAATAAAAGTAAAATATAATAAAAAAGAAGAATTTAATTGGGCTTCCAGTATTTTAAGAGGAACGATTTCTTTGCCTACATCCGATCATTGTTAATATTTTTGAGGATGAATTTTTCTAATAGACATAGGTTGCATTGACCCCCCCCACCTACCCTGCCAGAAAATGGTTTGGTTTGGGCTATGAATTCTCAATTTATATGAGGTGTGCAGACATCTGTTTTGATACACCAGTAAAACTTAGAGAGTGCTGTGGCGTTTCCATATTTTTTGTTGATAAGTGTCATTTTGTGATGATAGAAACGCTTTTTCCAACTATTAGCAGTATATCCAAAATAAAATTTGATCTCACCATTGTGCTTGACACTAGTTTTATAGATAACTCCTTTATACATGCATTTATCATTCATGGGACAGAGGGTACCTTTACAACAATTACATTTTTGATCATCATGGTTACCATTACTACTGGTGCTGCTTAAGTATTTGTTAAGGGTTACATTATTATGTTGGGCTAAATATTGTTCAAGGTTTTTACTGCAACTGTAGCTAACCTTAACGTTGTTCTTGTTGAAGTTTTTTCTGAGTAAGGGATTATGACTAAAATATTTGTGTACTAATCAAGGAAAGATTCTACCAATATTGGTCCTGACGTTACTGTTAAAGGGTAGATTGAACCAAATAATATTGTGTTTTCTATTGTTAGATTTACTATTGGTATTCAAAATAGTGTTAGGGATGTACATTCAACATTGTGCTTACTTTTATTTAATGCATCAACATATTTGGTTTTTTATTTGTCAAAGATGCGTTTACTGCTGGAGTTAGTGGAGAGTCTATGTTGTAAAGATTTGTGGAGGTTATTAAGAATACATGGTTGGTGGTTAGATTCTTTACTAATATATGTATAATGATAAAGTTCCTTATTATAAGGCATGTACACTCCCCTGGATAGATCGAACAAAGTGTCTAGTAAATTGATCACTGTGGTGATGTTAAGTCCGTGTTCCTTAAAGAATTTGATTCGTTGTTTCCTAAGCCAGTCAGTTTTTTTGTGGCTTGGAGCTACATAGAAGGATCACTCCATCATCCCTGTACAGTCCAGTTTTCTCACTATCGAAAATATATTTGAGCCTCTATAGTAGTATGCCAACTATCTCAAAAGCTTCTGCAGAGTCAAATACACCCATCACAATAGAGAAGCTGGGATTGTCGTTTTTGGTCCACAAAGAACCATTGTAGTATAGGATGGGCTTTTGGGCTTGTACGATTATGTTGATATCCTTGTCCATGATAGTGCAATAATTCTTAGCTAGGTTTATAGCAGCCATTAGTAGGTCTTCAGTGATCGACAGGTAAAAGTTGGATATGTCAAATTGCATAAAAGTACACTCGCTTTTATTTTTAATATTAGCAAACAAATTTATAGTATCTTTGG